AGACTATGCATGTGATTATTATGTGTAATGACTAAATCCTATGGGTTATCTTGATCCCAGTTATGTGATCAGTTCTAAGTCTTTTTCTATGTACCTGCCTGTCTATCTTATTTCTCTAGTTTATTAATATTCGAAATACTTAAATTACTGAACATATTTCAGTAGGTTACACTTCCATTCAGATTATACTCGCCTAATATAATTCCAGATTGATTTCATCATATTATCACTGCTTGTAATTGTAGTACATGTCATTATAAACAAAGTACGGTTATGAGGTCTAATTCTAGTGTTAAGCAAATACTATCATTACTGCAGTATGGTCTAGTGTCCATTCGTTCTCATTACACTTCAGTTCTGTAGATTATTGCTGTACACGTCAGTTGGCTTAATTATCTAAATATACACTCGGTAATACTGTTAAATTCTAATCTATTTCTCATCGAATTGTTATCAAGTTTAATTTAGTGATAATTATTGTTTGAGATCGCTTAACGAATATTTTGGGGTCACTTTAAATCTAAATAACAATGCTCTAGGATGCAATAACGTGGGATAATTAATAACTTTAAGCTCCTGTCATTATTTTCTTACTTTTACGAACTTGAGGATGTCAATTTTCTAGACGAAATTTAGTGGTTGTGGACAATGAATCGAACATTCTAGCAACTTAATCACTGAGAAATGAACAGTATTATGAAAGCGAACAAATTAGAGCTAGTTAAGTTACAAGAAATGAAGAGGGTTGGTTTCATGATAGAATCCAAGAGCAACATTTTACGATTGATATTTGTCGATATTCTCTACACTAGTCAGTGTACACTTTTTATTAGCTTTACATTGTATGGATTGAACATTTGAATGAACTCTGTACAGTCATTAAGTTAAACAGACTACTTTAACTTGTCTGTACTATAGACTTTTTCACGTACAACTGAAATATTAGCTTCAATAATACTTCGACGCCTAATCAAAGATCGTGAAGAGCAGATTAGAGAAAACCAGGCTGGTTTTCGACTCGGACGTGGTTGTATAGATCAGATATTCACACTACATCAGGTTCTAGAACACAGACACACATTCAGACGCCCCACAATGGTAGTATTTCTCGACCTTGAGGCGGCATTCGACTCTGTTGATCGTGAGGTTCTATGGCAGTGTTTGTCACTGAAAGGAGTACCAAAGAAGTACATTAACCTTATAAAGGCTCTCTACTCGAACACAACTGGTAGAGTAAGAGCTTATGGCGAACTATCATCAGAATTCATTACCTCAAGTGGTGTTCGTCAGGGCTGTCCACTCTCCCCATTCTTGTTCAACTTTGTCATTGACGTACTTTTAGAGATAACACTCTCCTCATCTAAATTTCCAAGGGTTGAACTTGTACCGGGAGGTTCACTTGTTGACTTAGAATATGCAGATGACAGTTTTATTTGGTGAAGACGCTGACAAAATGCAGTCTTCTGACCACTCTAAGTAACAATGCAAGCATGTTTGGAATGCGATTCTCTCCCTCGAAATGCAAAATGTTGCTTCAGGATTGGGTTACATCGACACCCGAACTAGTGATAGGGAGTGAAGTAGTTGAGTGTGTCGACCGCTTCACTTATCTTGGAAGTCTCATCAGCCCTTGTGGTTTAGTGTGTGACGAAATCTCAGCACGGATACAGAAGGCTCGACTAGCTTTTGCCAACTTGCGTCATTTATGGCGTAGGCGAGATATCCGTCTATCAACCAAAGGACGTGTTTACTGCGCAGCAGTTCATCCCGTCCTTCTTTATGGCACTGAAACATGGCCGGTAAGAGTAGAGGATATTCGTAGGTTACTAGTATTCGATCATAGGTGTCTTCGAAACATTGCTCGTATATCATGGGACCATCGAGTAAGTAACACAGTTGTTAGGAAACGGGTACTAGGTAAGGATGGCAAATCAATTGATGAAGTAGTGAAACTTCATCAGTTGAGGTGGCTGGGACACGTGTTACGTATGCCCAACGACCGACTACCTCGACGTGCTATGTTCAGTGGTATAGGAGTAGGTTGGAAGAAAGCTAGGGGCGGCCAAACCAAAACATGGCACAAGTCCATGAAGTCACTGACAAGTGGACTGAGTCATGTTGGTAGGTGTAGACTACCTGGTTGGGGTCCACGAGATGATAGCAACCGATGGTTAGAGACCCTGAATGACATGGCTCAAAATCGTTTGCAATGGCGCAGGTGCATCTACTCTCTGTGTTCTCCCAAATTCTAATCTTCTGAATTCTTCATGTCCCTTTTTTCCTCTTTCCAAATTTATTTCACTGGATTATACTCTTTAAATAACATCTCCAAACCCTAATCTTCCCGATTACTGCTTATACTCTTATTACCTCTACCACTACGGGATTTGAATCGACAACTGCATCTCTGTGCTAGGGTGGTGTGGCAACTCGAACTGATGTACGTACGTACGAAGTTCTACGTTGTTACTGACTGACTGACGTACAACTGAACATTTAATCTAATAACGTACTCGACGTATGTCTTGAATGTGTACACTGCTTCCGCCTGCTTTAAATTCGATCTGCTGATTGCTTGTAACTGAAGTAAATCATTTCACGAGGCCTCATACCTGGCTTTACGACACCACGCTGTTAAGAATGGTTGATTTAACAGCGGCTTTAGCCTGGGAAGACGATCAAAATTAGTCGGGACCTTTCACCTTTGGATTCAGGTTAGATCGTCGATACGAAAACTGCCTTTGAATTAAATCCTCCTGGTACAATAATATCTGATAAAACCAGTCTCACTAAGGTGATGAGTGAAACTGAACTTGCTGCGGGCACTCCTGTTGCGTAACATGATGTCGACAATGTTTCAAAATGGCACTTGGCAGACTAGATGATTTCCCGTGAAACATGAAATTAAATCTTCACTGAGCTCTTGAAAACCCATGTCTACAGACTAGGCAGGAAGAAAATCGTCCACAGATTTTTGCAGTAAGTATACTTCTCAGTTTGTTGTGTTTATCTATGTATATGTATCCTTAATTATGAGTTGTGGTTATTAATAGCGTATCCGTGCTAGTAACTAGAACGAGCACAATTATTGGGGTAACTATCCATAACTCTTCCTATTTGTCAAGTGATGAATACCAGACGAGCATAAATGGACAACTTGTGGGTTGGACACTATCATGTTATCCTGCCTTTCGTTGCTTTAGGCTTATTACGGTTCCAACAGCTCCGATCAGAATTAATATGTACATATCTAATGTCCGATTTAGGCTGTTGCTGGATGATCCACGAAAAGTTGTGGATGTGTGACCGAGTACCTCGTGAGTGTTCCCTTCATAATTCTCCTCAAATACTGCAAGTGACTTGGTTAACTTACACCTGTGCCAGATCCATTCTTTATAATTAGCTGACATGCTAAGAAATTATTGCTGAGTACATTACCTCCACAACTGCTTTTGGGTGTTTTATTAGTGACTATAAACAGATAAATATCACTATGTCCCCAAAGCGTTCACCTTATTTTCACTCATCTTCGCAAGCACCCGTGTCAGAAAATACGTTACAACTACTTTGACTGACTTTAAAAGCACCAAAAGTGTCTTTATGAATCAACTTTTAAAAAAACGACGGAGCAGAAAGGGGATGTAACCAAACAAGTTTAGACAAATTGGAGGATAAAATGATACAGTTAAAGCAAGATACAGTGGAGGGACCACAATTTATGGACGAACCAATCAGGTCTTGGATTTTGTCGCAAAATTCGTTCATCCGTTTGCCTAAATAGCATTTTGGCATTATAGCTTATGATGAAAAACCCCATTTACTTATTTGAACACATAAATATTGGTACAAGGGGGCACCAGATATATATGCGCAACACAAAACAATGAGAATGGGAAGATAAAAAGAATGTAGGGTGCGTATAGGAAAAAAAGAGAGAACAATAACGACTACAGGTTAGTGTATGGAAATGAAATAACAATAATAATAGTGGGGGAAACGGGAAGGTACAACCAGAATAATTATTTCAGTTAGGGGAGTTACAAACACTTTTTACGAAGAAAGTAAAAGAAGGCTACAGCACGATAGCCACTGGATTCTATTCTGAGCCATATCTGATAACGTTGCTAGCCAATGTGTTGCACCATCTCTCGGACCCCAGCCAGGGAGTCATGAACGACCAACACAAGCCAGTCCTTTGCAGCGTTCTTTCATACTACGACACCATGTCATACACTGACCACCTCTTCGCTTCTTTCAACCAGTCCCAGAGTCGGCAAATAATGCACGACGTGGAATTCTATGAGACGACATTCGTAGAACATGTCCAAGCCACCAAAGTCAATGTTTCAGGATGGTGACACCAATTGCATTATCATCTCTGTGCCCGAACACACGATGCCGAACCTCTGCATTACTAACATGGTGTTGCCACTGGATGTCAGCAATCCTTTGGAGACAACGATAATGGAACACAGAGTCGTATAACATCCTCAACTCGAAGAGGCCAGGTTTCACAAGCATAGAGCAAAACTGCTCTCACTGACGCGTCGTACATCCGGCCTTTTACAGCCAGACTAACATCACGAACGTGCCAAAGGTGGCGCAGATTGGCATAAGCCGCTCTGGCTTTTACTATATGTGAATTGATCTCATCTCAAGAAAAACTCCAAATCTAACGTACAAGTGTAAATCCTAGTAAGTAGGTGGATATTCTAAAGGTCACTTAAGTATCGTTCTAAGGTCGTCCATAAATCAGTCTCACCAATATTATATGTAAAAGACGTTGAATCAATGTTAACTTAACACAATCAACTTGAACACCTGACTCTCGAACACACATTCCTATCTCTCTTTTGAAAAACGACAATTATTTATAAATATTAAGTCTGATAGAACGCAACATTGAATTATTTTCTGTTTTTTAGGATATCTACAAAAGTAATCGGCGATATAACCGAGCAAATTACAAGCATTTTATGTAAACATTCAAAAGAAATAAATTCCAAATTAGAATTCATTATCAACAAAATGAAAAATAACATATAAAATAAACATACAAGTATCGTTAAAACCAAATATAATTTACAAAATACTTAAACAGTATTATGGATTGATATCTATTAAGTTTTCGTCTACTGCTGATTACCACCCCCAATATTTCCTCCAGCTGCATTAGGATCTTGCATACTGGAGAACAGAATGAATAAGAAAACTGCTGGAATAATATAGGTCCACTGGAATCAATGAGAAAAATAGGAAGTATTGCAAATTAATTACTAATCAATCATTTAACTGGATGAAAAAAATGAAGCTTCATCTTGATTCCATTATTAAATTTACAGTTATTTTAAACTAAAAGTTCGATGGCATAACTGAGTGTAATGGTTATCAACGAGTAACTACTAACGTTTGAATAACATACAGATTACCGAGCTAATGGAGAAGGTCGTTCAGCCTGCAATTTTTTAACATCTCATTTGAAGTGATCTATGGATTTTTAGTCATCTTGATCCATACCTTTGATAGTCTGTAGAAGACGGGACACTGAAAAATTACTAATTGATCAGCTATAAGCAACGTAAAATCTGGAAAACATGTTTACCGGTTCAAATTGTGACACAATATCACAATGATGTGAAATTATCAAGATTATTAACAACGTAGTATATATATATATCTTAAACCCTTGTCACTAAATCTCTTCAATCAGTTCGGTTAAAGTTTGATTTATAATATGTTTCTGGACTTGTGTATATTCCTCCGGTTTGTAGAAATCTGCCACATTTCGAATTATACTACTGGTGTTTCCTCAGTATTTTGCTAGATCTACTGAATTTCAATTATAAGTCCTAGAGTCTGTGTTGTGGTTGATTTTACTGTCTGATATAGACCTCATGTAAATAAGCACAGATCGTCAAACAAGGTAAAAAAAATCCACTAGACGTAATAATCTTGATGTCTACAGTCGACCTAATTCTTAGATCAATCAGTCGAGTATAAACACTACAACAGCTGATTCATAGTCAGTGAAATGAAATTCAGACGAAAGGCCAGTGAATCTATGTTTAAGATAATAAACTCAACGAACTCTTATTTTATAGTGAGGGGGCGTTTGGAACAGATAGTGTTAACCAATAAAAGAATGATAAGATGAATTTCAATCATAATGCAGTTAGAGTAATAAAAAGTAAATTGTACGGAACGTACTTGTAAATGAACTGAAGTCTGATAGCCCGGATTTAAAGAAACACCGATAGGAATGGCTGACTAAACGAGACATCACATACGATAACAAAAAAATAAAACTTCAACGGGTTTTAGGATAACCAAACTTTGGGAACTAATGATGCCGAAACCTGTGTAAACACGTCATTTGGATACAAAGCTCGTATACGGCTTTTGAACATATGTTTGTAGTCTTAGATTTAATTCTGTGAACCAGAGTGGTCATTGGACGTGTTATGTTCAGCCGATGTAGTCATGACTGAGACGTGTATTATACGTGAACTTGGAAAAACAATGAAGTTGTCGGGATAAAGCCATATGTTGCATGACAGAAGCAGATCAGCTAAGGGAGCTTATTATTAGTATCTGTCTTTATATGGTTAATTTAATTGTAAACACCATGAACCCTTAATTTGTGACGCCTTTGGTAGTGAGCACAGGCTTAATGGTTGAGCAACTGTAATTAGTGCTATTTTTTGTAGCTTGACTATCGAATTCATTATCCAATATACACTAAGGTCTAAAGTGAAAGCAACTAGTGCCTATTTGTAGGAGCAATGCATTAATGGTAAGCCAAGTAAATATACTCTTAATGAAATTTGATAATGTGCTGCATTTAATTGTAATAGGAAGATGCTGTTACCAGTTTTGAATTAGAAAAATGAGATAGATATCTGTCAAATAAATACCAACTGATTGGTTTTAACAGTATATTTGTCAAAGCACTTGAAAAGACTACCCATTCTGCTAACTTGCATCACGAGAACCACAAGGCTTTATATCATGGGGACAGTGAGTTTTAAAGACGGTGGCCCCCCACTCGGTAGGTTTTAATGGAACAGGCTATAGCTATCAATGGAAACAAAACAGTAAACATTGTATTTGTACGTCGGAGTAGATTCTGTTGTATGACTTACACTTGGGACTTAACAATAAACCAGGAAGCATTGAAATCGAATTTAATTTTTTTGCGTTACATGAGACAGTTGAGGGTAAATAGTGTTCCGATTGTATTTAAAGTAAACATCTGAGTACATATAGAGTCAAACTCAAAAACATCCAAGCACTCATTACAAGTTGAGATCTTGAAACTTTGTTGCAGGCCACTATAAACAATACCTACTATACAGGTTCAAAGCAGAGAAAGTTCAAGAGAGAAACAGTTACCTAGGACATGTGAAAACGAAGTTTAAATAAGTTGAAATAAGTGAAAGACTAGAAACAAAGAAGTCATGTATGACAGTGAACTAATTCCACCGAGAGTAACCTAGATAATGAAACATTTTTGAAACTAAACAGTGAAGGTATTTACTACATTAAACCACATTTTCGACTATAATGCTATCTTAGTAACGAAAATCCTTTCGTGTTTAAAAAATGTGAACATTGGACTGCTTTTTGAACTGCTTTAATTTGTGAACGCAAGCACCACTAATCACAAAACAAACTTCGCTATCCACTTTTTTATTTCATAGTTTACAATGAGCGTCTTAGGATATTCTCAGAAACTTTAGGGATCGAAACCGAATTGTCTACGTCTGAAGATCTAATTATTCTAATTAGCGGTGACCCACAAGGGTTTCTTGCTAACAAACATAGCACTGGCACTCTATATTGATGACTAAATGGGACTAGATCACTAGCACTAAAAATTTCAAAAATTAATATCCGCAATATGGTCTCATCATTATTACTGGAATAAAATATCCATTTCAACAGAAGTTACATTTAATGAAAAAAACTATCTTTTAACTTTTGGTCAACATTTTAAACGTTTTTCATTATGAGACTTTAATTGATCTCTGGCCTAAACAACAAAATACACAACTGAGATCCAGTACAATCACTTACCATTGGAGTAGAAACGTTTCGGTCACTACAGTCAGGCTTGTCGTTTACTATGATCATGGATTTGATATGCAGCAGTTAACTTTGTCGGAGCTTACTTTCTAATTCACAGGATAGCAAGACTCTGATAAATTTATACACATGAACAAATGGTTGGACAGGTTGTCTAACCCAAGAATCGTGGAGAGTAGATTTCAAAAAATCAGAATGACTCTAGTTACAGTGCACCTACGGATAAGATTCTGAACTAGATACGATGACAAGACAGTATGCAGAAACTATGCGTGACATTCTGTAGAAAAAGTAAAAAGTCTTAGTTCCTTTTGTCTGAAACAAATAACAACGGAAACCGTTAGAGGATCTAGTAAAAGAGGATGTGCTAAACACATCTCAGGAAATTCGAGTCCATAAGAAGTATACCCGCCAAAATACTTACATATTTAGCAAAGAAAGAACGATTGTCACTTTGCTCAGCACGAGCCATTTCTTCGCGTTGCTTCTCGAGTTTCTCTAGATACTTTGCAGTTTCAGGACTAAAGAGTAAAAATTGACATGATCAATACCTTGGTCCTAATTTTGGTTTTTGCAATGCTAAACTGATAGATAAATCCGGGAGGTTCATAAAACTGTCAGAAATGTCATATGAGCAATCGTACTTCGGAGTGCTCATATGTATTGCAATTGGGTCCCCGGCGTCATTAACGCTAACTGTGAGCTTTAATCTCATCCTAGAGGCAATAATTTGGCACTTGAACATGCTAGATGAGAAATTCTGTTACCGAACGAATCGAAGCTTCAATATATTCTTCATTTTTAACAGGCATACGAACGCTATACATGTACCCGGCCCTTGCAGACTCCTTGAAAGTTTAGAAATAGAAAGTACATACCTGCAGCTGCTGTTTTTCATCAGTTGAAAAGACGTGACCCCCGGAAACTAAAGTTAGAACTCCAGATGATGATTTAATCGAAGTTCCATCCATTTGACTGAAAGCCCCATCTACTAAATATAAACTAAGGTACATAACCTACTCTCCCTGAACCTATGTTCAAGCGTGTAACCAGAGATATCTAAAGCCTTTTGAATTTAAAACTAAGTTATTATATCGTACTGAAACTGGCGACAATAAAAACGAAAGTATGAGGGTTAACATTGGGCACGACCTTGTGAAGATAAATCTCCCACGCAAATTCTATTATTCAGTAAATAGTTCAAGATGTTCTGGATAGAATGGAAGGTTTCGTTTAATGGGCTTTCGTATCTACAAGCAGCGGATCACCAAGGTCTCCGTGTATTAGCCTAGGTATATTAAAGGTACAAAATGTTGGTGTATCATAGTAAGATGTTGTCATTAGTCTGAAGATGCCACAGGTGTTCGGAGTTTGGCAACGCTTTAACCAGTAGCACCTCTTAATATGAATCGTACCCACCAAGTGAAATCAAAAGACGCAAGCGAGGAGGTTCAAAAACATATTTGACAGGCTATCAATATATCAAGGATGGTCTGATCTAATATGGCTAGCGATTGTAGGGGTTGTTGGGCACGGCGTTCCCACTCGTGATCTGGTGCGGATGCATGACCTAGTGCCTTCAGCCAGGTGAGTCCATTAAAAGTAATCTGGTCAGCATCCAATGTCGAAAACTTACAGAGCTATTTATTTCGGACATTTATTTTCCGCACTCACCCCCCAGGGGGTAGTGATGACCCTAAGATGTGGCGGGCCAGAAGTTTAAACCCAACGAGTTTGTCGTTGGTAAACACTCTTCTGATAGCTTGCTAGGTTTAGCAGCGTCTGGTAATCTTTCCTTAATACAAGGGACTGTAGTGACCTACTTTTATCAAGAGAACGCGAATGGTGTAATGGAAACAATTATTACTATGACCAACTGTACCAGTGATTGTTTTGCCGTACTTGTTTTTTTATCTGCACTAAAGACATCCATTATTCTTCCTTCCGTTGATTGTGACCTTACACGAACTTACGTTTGCTTTGTAACCACACTTGTAACCTGGCACGACCTCGGTATTCTTTCGATACCTAGAGATCGCTAACAGATACATCTCGACTACAGCCATCAACTGCCTTCTGATATTTGGCTTACGGGAGATCTTATCGGTCAACTGGCACAGAGTCTTCCTGTAGTGGTGATCATAGTCAACCGCGACTCGACCATGAAGTATAATATAGTAAAAAAGAAAAAGTACAATGAAAATTTCGGTTCCCCGTAACCTTCATCGTTCATTCTATAGTCTTTACCAGCCGTCCTGGAAAAAAAAAATATATAAGTGCATGCCGAAATACACACAGAGTCGAGGAGATCGGAAGAGTGTATTTGGCGATAACCAATATATCGGGATTCTCTGATCTAATCTGGCTAGCGATTGCGGTTGATGTTGAGCACGGCGTTACCACACGTGATCTGGTGCGGATGCCTGACCGAGCGCCTTCAGCTAGATGAGTTCACTAAAACATATGGTCAGCATCCAATGTCGAAAACTTACAGAGCTATTTATTTTGGAGATTTATTTACCGCTACAACTGTAAGCCCATTGTTGACACCGAATATGACAATCGCATGCTGGAAGGATTATCCCACTCTAATCGTTTCGGATACACTCATATCCTGATTCCAGGAGACTTCACTCCTTCCAACGTCAACTTCGCTGAACACACGTATATTGGAGGTGACAATCCTACACCTCGAGGTGTCTAGTTGGAGTCATCTAATGCTAAGATGTGACAGGTATTCAGTGTTTGACAACGCTTTTACCAGTAACACCTTCTAATATATTCCGTTCCCACCCAGAGAAATCAAAAGACAGAGTCGAGGAGATCGGAAGAGTGTATTTGGCGATAACCAATATATCGGGATTCTCTGATCTAATCTGGCTAGCGATTGCGGTTGATGTTGAGCACGGCGTTACCACACGTGATCTGGTGCGGATGCCTGACCGAGCGCCTTCAGCTAGATGAGTTCACTAAAACATATGGTCAGCATCCAATGTCGAAAACTTACAGAGCTATTTATTTTGGAAATTTATTTACCGCTACAGATCACTCCCTCCCTAGTGGGTTAGTGATGACCCTAAGACGTGGCCAGCCAAAAGTTTAAACCCAACGAGTTTGTCGTTGGTAAACACTCTTCTGATAGCTTACTAAGTGTAGCAGCGTCTGGTTGTCTTTCTTTGCTATATGGGACCGAGGTACAACATAGTTACAACGAAAATTTTGACTCCTCGTAAACTCAATCGTTCTTTTCCAGCCGTCCAGGAAAAGAAAAAAGAAAGCGTAAGTGCATGTCGAAATACACTCGTATGTGCGTAAAAACACAATGTCGGTGAAAAAATGGGAAATATACTCAAGCACACGTAATAGCGTTAAAAAAATGTTTTTTTATGTTTTATTTTTTTTAAATAAAAATATAAATATATAAGCATATTAAAATTGTCTTTTTTTTAAAATAATAAATCGTAAAAAGAAAGATCGAGATAATATAAAATGTCGAGTAGTGCCTTACGTGCAGTAGTCGTTCAGATGTTCTGAAAATCTTAAGCTTCTTCCAGAACGCGTCGTTTTAAGTTTATTTTCTGATGCTGCCGAAGTACGATCGTGTGTGTTGCCTGTCGGTTGAGATATTATAAGTGTAGGAGTCGTGTCGTGCGATTGTGCCGAAGGAAAGTCGATGTGAATAGGACTTCCTTTTAAATACGCTGCTTTGTTGCTGTCGATGCTGATGCTATCGTTCTTCCCGTTATTATCGATTGTATAGTACTTCGGTTCGCGTTGAAGAACTTTGAAAGGTCCTTCGTATGCTGATTCGTAAGGTTGTCGATGCGAGTCTCGATGTCCGAAGATGTGTTTACCATATGGTATGTCAGGTTGAGCGAAAACACCAGTTGATTCAGGTCGAGTGGAAACAGGTTTAACTGAACTTGTAAGCCTGTTAGTGTAGGAGGTTAGATCCATGTTCATTGAAGAGGACGAAGGATCCACGAATTCTCCTGGAAGTCGAAGTGTCGTTCCATAAACGAGTTGAGCCGCAGTGTATCCAATGTCAGCTTTCACTGCATTGCGGATACCTAGTAAGACGAGTAAAAGAGCGTCAGTCCACTAAGAAATCTTTGAAGTTGATAGTGAAGCTTTTAGTTGTCGGTGAAAGCGTTCCACTAACCCGTTTGCTTGTGGATGGTAGGCGGTCGTTCGGAAGCGAGTGATTCTTATTAGTGCAACGGAAAAGTTCAGATTCGAACTGACGCCCACGATCTGTAGTGATAGTAAAAGGGCAGCCGAAGTTTGCTATCCATCGTTCGACGAAGGCGCGGGCCACTGTTTCAGCAGTGATATCCTTGATAGGTGCTGCTTCTGGCCATCGAGTGAAACAGTCAACGCAGGTTAAGAGATGAGAGTATCCATTTGAATCTGGTAAAGGTCCTACCAACTCCAGATGAACATGGTCGAAACGAGAATCGGGAGTTTTAAATGAGCCTAAGGAACATTTATTATGTCTGATAGCCTTAGATATCTGGCAGCTTACACAGAAGAGTGCCCACTCCCTCACGTCTTTATTCATGCCAGGCCAGCAAAACCGTTCTGCTATAAGCTTGATCGTTGCACGAACACCTGGACGAGAAAGTTTGTGCAATGCATTGAAGACATTGCGTCGATAATGTTTCGGCATGATTGGGCGATCTCTACCTGTAGATGTGTCACAAAGCATGGTTTATTTACCTGTTCCAATCTCTCCGATGCGTAGCTTGAGGATTCTTGAGGATAACTCGTGCTGGAGATCAGTGTCTTCTTTTTGAAGCTGGGCGAGTTTCAGGGGGTCGATTCCTTGGAAACTGTTCACGGAGGTTATTCGAAACAAGGCGTCTGAGACTATATTGTTTGCTCCAGAAATGTGCTGAATGTCTGAAGTAAACTGCGAAATGTAGTCCAGTTGTCGAAACTCACGAGGCGAGTACTTGTCTGAAGAGGAGCTCAAAGAGAAAGTAAGAGGCTTATGGTCAGTGAAAAGGGTGAATTCGCAGCCTTTGATATAGTGTTGAAAATGCCGCACAGCACAATACATAGCTAGGATTTCCCTACCGAATGTGCTGTACCTCGATTCAGTGTCTAGCAGCCGTCTAGAGAAAAATGCCGAAGATTGCCAAGAGTGGTTAACCCATTGTTGTGAGACTCCTCCGATTGCTTAGTCGGATGCGTCTACTGAGATACTAATGGGTGCTTCAGTGTCCTGATGTGCAAGCATTGTTGCTTTAGCGATAAGTTCCTTAACTGTGGAGAATGCTTTTCGTGCGGTGTCGTCTAGATTGATGGATTTCGCATTTCCACGAAGTTGGTCGGTAAGAGATTTCATGAGTTACGTGCATTTCAGTATGAATCGTCTATAGAAACTTACAAGGCCGTTAAACGTGCGTAATTGCTTGACGGTGGTCGGTTCTGGGTAATCCAGAATGGCCGCCACTTTGGTTCTAAGGGGTCGGATACCTTGAGCATCGGTAGTGTGTCCCAGAAAGTCTAATGAGTCGGTTCCAATTTGGCATTTCTGAACGTTTACAGTAATGCCATGTTTTTGTAGTCGTTCGAAAACAAGATCCAGACGCTTGAGATGTGTTTCTCTGTCCGGACTTGCGATTAGACAGTCGTCAACATACGCGTGTACGAAATTGAGACCTCGAAAAACGTCGTCTATGAATCTTTGGAATGTTTGAGCAGCATTTCTTAGACCGAAAGGCATTCGCAAAAATTCATAGTGTCCGAAGGGAGTTATATGAGCTGTTTTCGGAATATCTTCAGTAGTCATAAGGATTTGGTCATACGCTTTAACCAAGTCGATTTTCGAAAAGACAGTTGTACCTTTCAATGTAACGATAGATCGCCCACGTGAAGTACTTCCTTACAGGGTGTGTGACCGTTTACGGTTGTTACGAAATTTAAGATAACTTGTGAGTGTATGATATAACTCTGTAATGTCATTCTGGGTCGTTTGAAGCTTTTCTTTGACTGAAAAATCTCGACGTTAAATGATTTGGTGTTTTCTAAGGTGCGGTCAGCAGATGAAGCTAGCTCGTCTAAGGCATTGTTCGGGAACGAGACCAGAACTGCTTGCACCTGTTGGGGAAGTTTTGACAAGAAGAGTTGTTTGAATAGACCTTCGTCGAAAGTTCTTGGGCCTATAACCTCTCTCATCCGTTGCAACATAT